GCGCGGTGGAGGTTGTGTTGTTTTTTTAACCGAAGTGTGCACATGCGCCGTTGGGTGCTTGTGTGCATCCCGTGGAGACTTGGGAAAATTCCCACCTTTTCGCGACGGGACATGGGCGGGCGCCGGATGCCACGAGCTACGACCGGAAACGTGATCAGACGCCTGCCGTTGCCCCGCGGTTTCCGGAAACTCGTACCTCGGAGGTAGTAGTTTTTCACGGCGCATCTTCGGCGGGAAGCCTTGGGTTAGCCACGGGAGCTCTACGCTTCCCAGATGTTGCGGGTTGATCGCGCCCGGAAAATCCGCCTATCTTCCGTCTCTGTAGCATGGCTAATGCTCCGTGTGACCGCAGCCTTTATTTTTCATTCACCCACCTGGAGGCTGGCAACACTAGAGGCGCTCCAGGGCCAAATGGAACAACTGAATCCTGCTCCAGGTAAGTTCCCCAGATCTTCTGCCGTGACGGTGAGTCGGGTCAGGCACCTGTGGGCACTCCATGAAATTGCTGAGCGGTCGTGTTAGAACGGATAAAAGGAAGTCCTTCTTCACCCAAAGAGTGATGAACACTTGGAATTCACTGCCACAGGAAGTGGTGACAGCTACAAGCATGGACGGCTTCAAAAGAGAATTAGATAATGTAATGTATTCAGATGCTGCCCTGAATGCATTAGGAGGTATGTGAATCGTCCCATAGAGAAGCCATGCACAGCTTCAAGCTTCGGCAGGGATTCGCGCCGAAAAGTATTGTGGCCAATCAGATTTGAATGTATGTAAGCGGGACCGCTTATGATTGGTCGTTCATGCACACAACCTGATAGGTTGGTTTAATGTACAGTAGGTGTGGCTACATTAGCCCGGAATGTTTAAATACCGAGCAGCTGAAATGGACAAGCTGTTCGGGCTATGAGGAGTTGTACCGTGTCAGAAGAAGTCGATTGAAGAGCTGAATAAACCTGAGTTTTCTGAAATCACTCTCTGACTACTTTGTTAAGTACGGACTTAACAATTGGCGACGAAGGTGGGATCCAGGAGCGGGTAGGCAGCCCCGCTGGTCCCGAACCAACGACGGACAACCAAGAGCAGCAGCTCGCCGTGGCAGAGCAGCGACAGGCACCACCAGCACCGGTGGCAGCGATCGCAGCTATGGCCAATAGCCCAAAGTTCGAGGCATTCGAACCAGCGACCGAGGACTGGGACGCCTACCTGCTGAGGTTCGGGTTCCTCTTATGTTCTTATGTTCGTATGTGTCCCAGCTCACGTCGCCCGTAACGTCCATCCTAGTCGATTGCGGAAGCCTCTTTTGGATCCGATTCTCAATTTTGCATTGTGGTTCTCCCCCCCCCCCGCTGATTCTGCAGAGTTCCAGGACCTGCAACCCCCTCAAGCGAGCGCCTTCGCTGCTCTGAAGTCCTCATTCCAGAAGGGAACATGAGATAGAAGCCCCGCCGATGGACAGTGGCGCCGTCACCATTAAGAAGTCCAAGCTCAGGAAGCTGAAAGTCGCTCGCCAGCGCTTGCTCCAACGCTATGAGCACCATCCCCTCGTTTCCTGCCTGGCCGGGCTGTACGGCTGTCGCTGGAGGAGGTACCAGCGGCAAAAGGTCGAGCCAGGGGAATGGTGTTGCTCCAAGGTAAGTGTGCGCGGTGACTCACGAAAACTCACCCCCTGCCACAGATTTTGCTAGGCTTTAAGGTGCTCAAGGGTCATTTCCTGCAGGAGCGCACAGGAGCGGCGCTCCGGCGGTAAAGAGCCCAAGGAGCGGCCACATGCAACAAGCCCCGCCCCCTGCTCCCAGCAGCCCTCAGTCAGAGCAAGAAGCAGCCAGGTAAGCTGCAGAGCCCCCCCCCTGGGCTCCCCGAACCAAAGCAGTCCAGTGGCACCTTTAAGACCATGTTTTATTCAGGTACAAGCTCTCCCTCCTCTGCGAGGACAGATCTGCAAGTCCCCCCCCCCAAAAAAAGCTAACAATCCAAAACAGTCCAGTCAGGGGTCATTTTGTAGAAAAAGAGGTGCAGGAGCTCATTAGCATAGCTCATTAGCATAACATATTTGCATATTCCACACCCCCTGACATCACCGGAAGTGTGTCAGAAGGCAACACCCATTGCAACTTACCTGGCTGCTTCTTGCTCCTCATGGCCCGGGGCTGCTGGGAGCAGGGGGTGGGGCTTGTTGCATGTGCCCGCCCCCTGGGCTCTTTACTGCCGGAGCTCCGCTCCTGTGCGCTCCTGCAGGAAATGACCCCTGAGTCCAGTGGAGCCTGAGCGGTGGGTGTTGCCTTCTGACACACTTCCGGTGATGTCAGGGGGTGTGGCATATGCAAATACATTATGCTTATGCGTTATGCTAATGAGCTCCTCCACCTCTTTTTCTGTGAAATGACCCCTGAAGGTGCTCCTGGACTCTTGCTCTTTTCTACCACTACAGACAGACTAGCAAGGCTGCCCATCTGGATCTGTCTCCATGGAAGGCACCACGTTTAGCCGCACAGAATGGGAATCCATCCACCTTGAGATATAAGGACCGATGGACTCTCGTTCTAGCTGTGTCTGAAGAAGTGAGCGGTGACTCCCAAATGCTCCTCCCCTGCCACACATTTTGTTAGGCCTGAAGGTGCTCCTGGACTCTTGCTCTTTTAAACCGCTACAGACAGACTAATAGGGCTACGCATTTTAACAAACATAGTATTCTGAATTATTATTCTGGAGACTCTAATCTGAGAGAACTGGGTTGGATTCTCCACTCCTCCACATGCAGCTGCTGGTGGGACCTTGGGTCAGTCACAAGTTCTCTCAGAGCTGTTCTCTCACGAGCAGTCCTCAAAAGAGCTCTCTCAGCACCACTTACCTTGCAGGCAGTATTCCCTCTCGACTGAATTAGTGTGAGCTAGCTCACAGTTTCTTAGCGTCTGGCTCACACATATTTGTCTTAGCTCCGGAAGGATGGCTCCAGAGCAAACTAAATTTATCCAGCAGCAGCTGAATTGCTCACACACAACTTTAATGCCAGTAGCTGACAAAGTAGAATTTTTGCTCACAGGACTCCACAGCTTAGAGGGAACATTGCTCACAGGGTGTCTGTTGTGGGGAGGGGAAGGGAAAGGAGATAGATTGTAAACCGGTCTGAGACTCTTTTGGGTAGTGAAGGGCGGGGTATAAATCCAATCTCTTCTTCTTCTTCTGATAACATTTGGATATTGATTTATATGCAAACCATTGTTTCTGGATAATGATACAGATATACCTGCTCACGGAAGATAAGACGAACTGCTTTGTGATGATTTTGTATTACTGTTTACAGTTTTGGTTAATGGACACTATACTGTAAGAAACAAAGAAATTAAAAATAAATAGTCTAAGTAATTCCAGCTTTCCCTTTGAAAGAGAACTTGGATTGGTGCCATGATTGAGAAGGCCCCGCCGTGTGTCTCCCGTAGCCTTAACTGGGCACAGGACTGAATATACAGAAAGGACTCAGCTGATAAGTTAAGGGCTCACTGAGGTCTACAGTTGCCAGCTCTGGGTTGGGAAATTCCTGGAGATTTGGGGATGGAGCCCGGGGAGGGCCGGGTCTGGCGACCCTACGGAGGCCTGTAAGGGAGAGAAGCTTCCTGACCTGTCCCCGTTTCATTTTCTTACAGCGGGAGTGTGCATTTTACCCGGTGTTGGCTGCCGCGTTCTGTTTCTCTTTCGTCTTTCTGTACTTATGGGGGGAAGGGCAGAATGACTACGATAACTTCGACTGGTAAGTGGCCCTCTTGAAGAGTTTTCCCTCGGATGACCGTGGCCCAGCGTGGTCGCGTCACTTCCGGGTGACGCGCACGTCGGGGTGGGGTTCCCCCCGGGGCCTGATCTGCCGCCGGTGAGGAACAGGCCTCTGGGGCAGGGGTTTCCCCGCCCCCCGGGGGGACTTGGCAAGCCTAGCCACAGACACCCTGTGAGGTAAAAGAAGAAGAAGAAGAGATTGGATTTATACCCCCCGCCCTTCACGCCCCAAAGGAGTCTCAGAGCGTCCTACAAACTCCTTTCCCTCCCCCTCCCCACAACAGACACCCTGTGAGGAAAAAGAAGAAGAAGAAGAGATTGGATTTATACCCTGCCCTTCACTCCCCAAAGGAGTCTCAGAGCGGCTTTACAAAGTCCTTTCCCTCCCCCTCCCCCCAACAGACACCCTGCGAGGCAGGTGGGGCTGAGAGAGCTCTGACAGACACTGCTCTTTTTCAAGGACAGCTCTGACAGGACTACGGCTTGTCCAAGGTTATCTAGCCAGGTGCAAGTGGAGGAGTGGGGAATCAAACCCGGTTCTCCCAGATTAGAGTCTGTGCATTTAACCACTTCACCAATCCTCCGTCAATCACGGATATAACCAGAGCAGAGTAAAGCCTGGAACCTGGGACCTTCTGCATGCCAAGCAGATGCTCTGCCACTGAGCCACAGCCCCTCTCCATGGCTCTCCAAGGTCTCAGGCTGAGGTTTTTCCCATCACCCACTGCCTGGTCCTTTTAACTGGAGATGCCGGGGATTGAACCTGGGACTTTCTGCATGTCAAGCAGAGGCTCTTCCACTGAGCCACAGCTCCCATTTATGTCTCTCCAAGGTCTCAGGCCTTTCACATCCCCTCCTGCCTGGTCCATTTAAACTGGAGATGACAGGGATTGAACCTGGGGCCTTCTGCATGCCAAGCAGATGCTCTGCCACTGAGCCACAGCCCCTCTCCATGGCTCTCCAGGGTCTCAAGTGGAGTTATTTCACATCACCTTACTACCTGGTCCTTTCAACTGGAGATGCTGGGGATTGAACCTGGGGCCTTCTGCGTCCAAAGCTGATGCTCTGCTGCTGAGCCACAGCCCCTCCTCACAGTGCACACATGAAGCTGCCTCATTCCATTCAGTCCATCTGTCCATCAAGGTCATTATTAGCTGTTCACACAGGTAGCATCTCTCCAGGGTCTCAGGTGGAGGTCTTTTGCATCACCCACGGCCTGAGCCTTTAATTGGAAATGTTGAGGATTGAACCTGGGAACTCCTGCATCCAAAGAGCGAGCTGTGATGTAGTGGTTAAGCGTGGCGGACTCTAATCTGGAGAACTGGGTTTGATTCCCCACTCCTCCACATGCAGCCAGCTGGGTGACCTTGGGTCAGTCACAATTCTCTTAGAGCTCTCTCAGCCCCACCTCACAGGGTGTCTGTTGTGGGGAGAGAAAGGGAAGGCGATTGTAAGCTGCTCCGAGACTCCTTCGGGTAGTGAAATGTGGGATATAAAACTTCTTCTTCTTCTTCTTCTTCTTCTTCTTCTTCTTCTTCTTCTTCTTCTTCTTCTTCTTCTTCTTCTTCTTCTTCTTCTTCTTCTTCTTCTTCTGTAGTATAGCCAGGATATCCTAAGATTGTCTGGCAGCCAGCAGTTCTAGCTCCTTTAGCGCTGTGCACCACTAGGTGGCGAGATAGACTTGTTTTTAAGGCAAGAGATGTTTCAGAGGTGGTTTGCCATTGCCTGCCTCTGCATCACCACCCTGGTATTCCTTGGAGGTCTCCCATCCAAACACTAGCCAAAGCCAATCCTGCTTAGCTTCCAAGCTCTGATGAGATCGGGCTATCCAGGTCAGGGTGTCGGAGTCTCTAATCCGGGTCCACAGGTCTGGCAACCCTCGCTTAGAATAGTAGAGTCACTTTTTTACAAAACAAATAATGAATGTGTAGACGATACCTAAGCTGGTGAGACGTGGCCCTGTGTCCATGTACCACCAGCTTAGGCATGCTCTACGCAGGGGTCATTTCCTGCGGGAGCGCACAGGAGCGGAGCTCCGGAAGTAAGGAGCCCAGGGGGCGGGCACATGCAACAAGCCCCGCCCCCTGCTCCCAGCAGCCCTCAGTCGGGCCATAAGGAACAAGAAGCAGCCAGGTAAGTTGCAGAGCGGCCCCCCCGGCCCGCCTTCAGGTACAAGCTCTCCCTCCTCTGTGAGGGCAGATCTGTGTGTTCCCCCAATAGCTAGCAATCCAAAACAGTTCAGTGGAACCTGAGCGGTGGGTGTTGCCTTCTGACACACTTCCGGTGATGTCAGGGGCGTTGCATATGCAAATAAGTTATGCTAATGAGTTATGCTAATGAGTTATGCTAATGAGCTCCTGCACCTCTTCTTCTACGAAATGACCCCTGGGTCTACGCATTCCAAGTAGAAAGAAATTCAAGGGAATGGTTGCCATTAACAGTTCATGTGCGCACTTCCTTCCCATATAAGCGACTGGTTTATTACATTTCTTTGCAGGTTCAACCATAACAACCTGGGCGTCTGGTTCCTTTGGTCCATTGTGCTCCTCGTCATGGCCGCCCTCTCCTTCTCCTACATCTTGCTCTTGCTGGTAAGTGTGTGAAGAAAGACCTCTGTCATGATCTGGGCTGTGCCACCAGAGGCCTACTAGGCCCAGGGAGCCTGACTAGCAGTAGGTGAGGCTGGGCCTACAACTCCCAGAAGCCCCTGAGAGGTTTTAGAGCCAACATTGACCAATAGGAAAAGAGGAAGGCTTGGAATAAAAGAACTGGAGCAGCAGGAAAAGCTATTCTTCTTCCCAGAGGGCAGAACCAGAAGGAAGGCTGCTGCAGGAAGAAAACCTCATCCTGAAAGAAAGGTGAGTAGTCTAAGGCCACTGCAGATAGTGAGCTAGAGACAGTATATTTAGACGCATATGATTTCTTTCCTTTTTACCCACTTACTGTTATATTTCTGCACCTTGTTGTTTGACCTCCTATACAATAAACAATTTTCACTGTTCACTCTGCCTGGTCCTCACGCCTATTATTTGGCCAAAAGGGAGATCTAAAGGTCTTGGGAGAGTGCTTTGGGCCTTCTCAAGGGAGCCTGGAACCAGAGTGGTGGCAGCGTCAGGTGACACCCCACCTGAGCCGTGACAACCTCACAAGGTGGTAGTTAAGACTGCAGCCCGCTCTTGGTGGATGTGGATCAGTGGTAGAACCTCTGCTTGGCATGCAGAAGGTCCTGGGTTGAATCCCTGGCATCTCCAGTTAAGAGCAACAGTAGGTGCTCTGAAAGACCTCTGCTTGAGACCCTGGAGAGCCATGACGAGGGGCTTTCAGCACCCAGATTACTCTGGCAACCTCCCCAAGGAAGGGTGGAATCGTTCGCATGCAAGAAAGGGGCTATGGCTCAATGGAAAAGCTTTTGCTTTGCATGCGGAAGGTCATAAGAAGAGCCCTGCTGGATCAGACCGATAGTCCCTCTAGTCCAGCATCCTGCCTCACACAGTGACCTCCTCTGTAGGGCCAACAACAGGGCAGAGAGGCCGAGGCCTTCCCCTGATAAGAACCTAAGAAGAGCCCTGCCGGATCAGACCTGTGAGGGTCCATCCAGTCCAGCCTCCTGTCTCACACAGTAGCCAACCGGTTCTTCCTCTGGAGGGCCAACAACAGGGTATAGAGACTGAGGCCTTCCCCTGATAAGAATATAAGAAGACCCCTGCTGGATCAGACCAGTGAGGGTCCATCCAGTTCAGCATCCTGTCTCACACAGCCTCTGGAGGGCCAACAACAGGGCAGAGAGGCTGAGGCCTTCTCTGATAAGAACCTCAGAAGAGCCCTGCTGGATCAGACCAGTGAGGGTCCATCTAGTCCAGCATCCTGTCCCACACTGTGGCCAACCAGTTCCTCTGGAGGGCCAACAA